CAGTTCAGCATGTCATCCCCCGGCCCTCAGAGGAAATTTGGGAAGCGACAACATTGAACTAGTGTCCTTTGTTATTGTGGCACAAACAAGAGAGAAGCAGATCCAGTGTAGACTAGGACAACTCCCCTGCCAAAAGATGACAACGCTACAAAACATGAGGTTGGCAGGGTGATAACAAAACAAGAGACACAACATACGAAAGAGACCTTCAGGCCATTTGACAGCTGGCAGAGCAGGGGAAGAGGGAAAACAGCCCATTGTCTGAAACCTGCAGGAATGAAACCATTGTTTTGTGTGTGGAGATCATGGACACTAAGCAGTGGGATGCTTAAAGCATACCAAATTTCAGGGAAACAAGACAGTCTTTTTTAAGCGAAAGCCAGAAGCCTGTCAGCAGGGCCTTCCAGTAAGCATTGAACCCAAGCAGCTAAAATCATATCAGCCGACATCCACATTCTCAATTATACAGTAAGACCACGTCAAGAACTTCTTGATGAAGACCTTGATCTTTATGCAGTTAATGTCCAAAACATCTCCTATGATTGTTGGGTAGAGCTCACCGTCAACTTGGCAGGGAATAACAATCCCAATCTCACCATTCAAGCCCCCTTCTTGGTTAGCCAGCTGTCACTGCCCCAGACTTTACTAGGAGCTGATGTGTTCATCAAGAGACAAGAACTTTAAGGTGATGCTGGGGCTGCACGATTAATTGTTAGAAAATCACGATCTCAATTCATACTTATGTGCGATCTCATTTCCAAATGACGATTTAAAAAAAAAAAAAAGGAAAAAAAAAAGAAGACGACGATTGTACCGCATTTTGATCCGGGACATAATCTGCATGAAAACAAGCGCTCACTCTTCCTGCTCAACAAATGACAAGGGCGGAGCCTTATACCACGTGATACAGAAGCTGGCTGCTAAAATTGGCAGGGAAAAAACAATGGAGAGCACGTCAGGGATGACGAGAAAGTGACAGGAGAAAATCCGTCCCGGTCAACCACCCAAACATCAATAACGGGAACCTTATACAGCGCTTCCCTATAC